TGAATATTGCCAAGTCATATGAATAAAAAACGTGTGTTATTACTTTTGATCAACCCCTCTACTCTAAAGCACGTGAAATGGTAGCTGCGTTAGATGCTAACTCAGAATTATCTGAAGTAGTTGTGAAATTAGGAGAATTTCAAATGCTTTAATCAAGCCTTTTAATTTTTAGAATTTATATTTTTGGGTTCGTTTGGGATTAAATTATGAAATTTTGGACCAAGATAATAATAACTTCGTTATAATATAATTTTATGAGGTAAAGGTATATAATTTGATTGATTTTTGTATCTTGTATATATTATTTGAATTTTGAAATACCCTGTATAATTACCGTGTATAATAAATTGACTACGTTCGATAAAACAATAAATTTCCCAATTTCCTTCTTTGTGTGTTGTTATAATTTATTTATAATTAATTCTATTCCGCTCTATAAATTTTTTATCGTACGCGTGGCATTCAGGAAATTAAAATTTACTCTGTTCGCTCGAAAATTCTACATTAGAGCTAAATAATTTATCTGACTCTTGGAATTGCCTTTCAACCGAACGGTAATTGACAGTCGGCGTAAGTAAAAGCCTACTTTCCAAGAAAATTGCTTTAGGAGAGGTGATTTTACGAAAATTTATTACTTAATATGGTTTTGACCCAGATATATCGTCGAGATTTGGCTTTTCCTCTGCATTTTCCTTTTTTTTTAGTAGAAAGATAGCCCTACAAACTATTAGTGTGACCCGTTTGCTACAAAAATAAAAGTATTTATACGGGGTGACCCATTTGAGAGGGATTTTATTTTTATTAATTACCATTTGGTCTTGAATATTAAAAATGTAACGAAGTTACTTCTATTTATTTGTTTGAAAAGCATAGATTTCGTTGGGAAACCGAATCTAAGGTTTTTATATAATTTTTAATAATTACCATTTAGCCTTAACTTAAAAAATTCGAGTTTTCAAACGTTTACTATGTATGGAACCTTTTTATCAAAATTTTAATAAAACTAAATTTTTTGTAACATAAACTTATTTTCAAACAATTTACAAACGAGTACCTCTACTTAAATTGGATCAGCCAAAAAAAAACATTACATAACAATTTTTTTTTCTAACTATAATTTCAGCAAATTGTATTATGATTTCTGTAATATTGCTTTTCTCACATTATCTCGTGTTCTATTGCAATAATAGAAAGACCACAAAGTCGATTTTGTGTAATTTTGGTACGTAGGTAAGCCTTGATCCGTTTTAATTTTGAGAAACTCCTTTCTCCTGTAGCGACAGTTACTGGAGTTACTGGAAATAACATAAAATTGTATTATCACCAGAACTATAAATGGATACAAAAGTCAATTTGACAAGTAGATGTCGGTCAAAATCGACTTTCTAGATTTGTTACATTCTCTATCGCAGGGATGGCGTTGTGGGGGCGCTGAGTTTCTGACAGACAATTGCAGAGGCGGCGTCGGATAGTAATAAAATATAGGTAAATAATCTAATTTATTTATTTAAAATTAAATCTATACTGCCACAGCTGCTCTTCTTAATGACTAGACAAATAAAACACTAATATTTTATTTTAAATTGATAATTGTAATTTTTAGCGTCCCTAGAATTTGACGCCCTTTGCACATGCCTAGAGCCGGCCCTGACCCTGTATATTTAAGAGAAAATTTGTTTATTGATTGAATTGACAAGAATAATTTCTTATTCCATTTTTTTGAATTCGTTTGTAAATAATTGTTATTTATTATTTTTGTAGAGTCTTAGATTCATCGCAAAAATGCTTAAAACGAATTCAGTTTGTTGAATTTTCTTTTCCGTTTACATACATCGAAAATAAAAATCAATACATTAAAAATATAAATAAACACGCGGTGAAATCGTATTTGTCCTTTATTATGATGATGATAATAATAATAATATACTTCCTGGGAAAACGCCATCTGAAGCTCTTGTTCGTTTGGATGTGGTATGTAAAAGTTGCAGTAATTGATCCTTCTTTGGTGTACTATTAAGGCCGCTACTGTTACCAGATTTGTTTTTAATTTTATTTGTTTTGCTCCCATGTTGTGTGTTACGAATATAGTACTCCACCGCTTGATATATTTTCTTTTTTTTTTAAGGATTGATAATTTTTTAACGATTTTTTTATTTTGGAAATGAGTTTCCTGAAAACATAGTACTTTTAGAAAATATTCTTGTATGAGTTGGTGGAGCATTTCTATATGTTTGTAGTATCCATTTAGATTCCACTACATTACGAAAGACATAATTTTTATTTTGTTTAATATTTTAGTGCGTGAGATTAGATTTTGAGTCATCGCTGTCGTCCTGATGTAATTTTCTTTTTTATTAGGATGATTTAAATCTTTAAGTTCTGGTATTCTGTGTATTTGTGTATGTAGGTTAACATTTTTATTATTTTTTTCTGTGTCAGGTGTGTAATTTCTAGCAACGAGTTAAGGATACTTAGAATTGAAAGCATTTTCAATGGAATCACATGTTTCATTAAATTCTAGGTAAAATGAATCTATTTTGCATTTGATTTTATTTCTGAAGGGTTCCATCATTTCTAAGATAGTTTATTGTGGATTTTCTTTGTTGGGAGATCTATTAATGGTTTAGAAAATATTTGTTCGTTATTGTGGTTTTCACATTCTGGAGTTGTGGATAATTTTCTCTTCACATTTGTAAAAGTTTTGTTCTGTACTTTTTTCTGGCTGCGATTGGCTGAACTTGCTTTTTGATGGTATGTCGGCACTATATGTACGTTTAATATGTGTGGTTGGCTTAGATAAATAGCTTTGTTTGGGGTTGAGGTAGAGTTTCAATGGGTTCTTCATTGATTTCTGTGTTTGTGCTTAAGGTCTGGGATATGGTTAATTCAGGTTGCAGGGTATCCATACAAATGGTGTGATTGTTGAGAGCGGTTGCTAAATTACAGGGAATGAAGGTTGAATTGGTGGTAGCATAAATGGTAATTTGTTTTCAGAGTATCCCACTTTTTGACACTGCGGGCAGTTTAAATCATCAATTAAAAGATACACTATGTGAGTCATTTTCAAATGGAATAAGTATGGAGTAGGGATTAGATTCGTTATGAATAGGAATAATGTAAATTTGGCGTCTGAAACTGAGAATATGTCCGTATTCAGACTCGGGCATGCCTATACAAAGAAATGTTGGTTTCGAAACAGATTTTAGGCCTACGGTAATTAATTCGTTTTCTACGATGTCATGTGGTATAAATGGGTAAATATTTGAAATTAATAGTCTGTGATTTATTTATGAGTTGGCTAATTTCTAGTTTTTCGCCATTTATTGTGATACATTTTTTATATTCTACTAGACTATCTACGAGTTCTGAGAATGTTAAGAATATACGTATTCTGTTGTTCGATATCCTGGATGCAACAATAACATTTTTTGGGCCAATTATTGTTCCTATTTGTAACTATTTAGTCGTGGATTTTTATGTTGTCTAATGATATAAATATTATAGCTTGATTTTTAGAAGGTATTCTGTGTGTGCTGAAAACACTGGAGTAAGTAGTATTCTTCTGAGGATTACCTGCAGTTACCTGTTGACTAGACTCCATTATGGGAGTATATCCTCATAATTTTCTTGTGATCTAGGCCGGACCTGCGTCCGATACAGATAGTTTTCCAAATTCCAAATTTCAAAACTGGTGATTTTATTAAATCGGTTTTTTGCAGTTACTAATTACTTTTGATAAGCATTAATAGCACGTCCGTTCAGTTTAACGGTTTGATTGGAACTTCTTGTTTTACATTGTTTAATATTTCTTTGTAGAAATTGACATAAGACTTAAGTACTTATAACACATTAAAAAAACGTGTAATTTATTTGTGTCTGAGAATACCCCTAGAACAGCACCAATCATTTTATATAATATGTAGTTATACGTATCCACATTTTCCTATCATTTAAACATTTTCATATAGATTGTTTAGATTTTCTTCCTCATCTTTTAAAAATTTTTTTTAGGATTACCCGGTTTTTTCCAGTGTCTTATTATTTTTATACCTGCTCCCTAAAATGACCCAACCACCTTTACAGTTATTTGCTGTTTTATCTGTATTACTAATATCTCCTCTTAGTTATAATGTCATCCTCATAAAGTTATCTTAAAAGGTCTCTAGTACAGTTTTTATAATCTCCCTTTCGATTATTCCTTAGACTCATCGTGATAAAATAAAGTAGAGACGACCTTAACACTATTTTGTAATATGAGAGATTGCATTTTGAGCGACGGAAAAGTGTAATGAAAGTGACGACTTTAGTGATACTTTGATTTCTTTCAAGTCAGTAATTTTGTATTTGAAGACTGACGGATTCATATCATTTAAATGTAGTTACTTAAAAAAAATTGTACTAATTTTCACCAAAACTAACTTGCTTTACTATCTCGAGTTTGACATATGACATAAAACTAATTCAAAGGTGCAGACATTTTAGCATCTCCTCTTTATTCTGTCTCAGTGCTTAGACTTTGATAATTGTTTTCGCTACCTATGTAAATAATATTAGTATCTACATTATAATGATATAAACTTTTATTCAATATTATAACACGATGCTTTTTGTTTCTAACATTTTCTTTCATATGAAATCAAATTTAAAGTTAGATTCTGTCAAATTACGATAGAAATGTATTATTGTAAGTAAAATGGAATATTTGATAGTCATGAATGTTAAATATACTATACCGCGCCACCGCACTTCTGCAGGACCTTATATACTGGCGCTTTCACAGTGTATTATCATTAAATTTTCATTATCATCTTCCGTCTTCTTGTTTTTGTCGACAACTGTCTTATCTAATAAACGTTCTTTATTACAGTTAATTGATTTGTTCGGAACTTTTTTGGGACATGGAGGGAGACGAAGGGATGGACTGGAATTTTTGACGCAGAGGAGCCACATGAGCGTCGCCGCCATGTTAGGGGCAAAATTCGAGTTCGTGTGCAGCTAATATGTTTTTAGCGGTCACTGCGTTACTGCTACTCAGTACCGGTTTAGCAGGTAAGTCCTAATTCGGCAATACATTAATATTATATTATTTTTTTTTATTATTTGGTGTCATCGGCATCGACTGCTAAGGTCATTAGCCTCGTGTTCTGTGTAGGATTTGTTACTGTTTCCCAGCGCCACTTTAGGAACAGCACTGTTAATTAGAATCCAACAGTGAATGATCGAGTAGGATTATTAACATTAATATTATTAATAATATTATTAATATTGTTATTATTATCATCAATATTATTAATAGTTTAGAGATATTTTACCATAAGCGTGTTCAGAATTCAAATATATTAAATCAACTGATTGTCCTTGATCGATTAATCTTTGTTTTTTTTTTGTATTTATCACACGTGGCAATTTCAGCAGCATATTCAATACCTTTTGAATCGCCATAATGAATTTTTGCCGTTTCGTTCACAATAACGGCTGGAAACAGATATTTTCCTCTAATTCCGCCCTTTAACTGAACTCCATTTCCAGTTTTAATTATTTTCTGGCATACATACGACGCGTCATAATTGAAATATCTGCCCTCTTCGTGTTAATAAATGTTACACTGAACAACTAATAAAACGTTACAATGTATTTAATTGAATTTGCTTTTGCATGGTTATAGCACCATTCCATGTGTTCAGTTATTATTTCGAACGCACCATTCTGTTATTTTTCATAGCTAAATAAAAACTGGGGCGATAGAAATTGTAATATGGAAGAATGAACACTCATATTTAGATATGTGGCGTGATTTTGGTGTTGGCTTCACAACAAATACACTTTAATGAATAACTAGTTAGGGATGGGGTCAACAAGTTCTAGAAAAACAGTAAAAATTAAATATAAACCATTTTTTGTCAGCCTTTCTTTCTTTCTTCAGAGTTTGTAATTTTTATTATTTTATTCTATCGACTTCCTATTCTTCCTCTTCTTCCTCTTCTTCCTCTTCTTCCTCTTCTTCCTCTTCTTCCTCTTCTTCCTCTTCTTCCTCTTCTTCCTCTTCTTCCTCTTCTTCCTCTTCTTCCTCTTCTTCCTCTTCTTCCTCTTCTTCCTCTTCTTCCTCTTCTTCCTCTTCTTTCTCTTTTTTCTCTTCTTCCTCTTTTTTCTCTTCTTCCTCTTCTTTCTCTTCCTCCTCTTCCTCCTCTTCTTCCTCTTCCTTTTATTCTTTGTTCGCCTGCAACTATAAAAATAAAGTGTTATGGGGAAATACTGTATTTAAAAATTAAAAAATCATTAATAAATGCAGAGTGACAGTTTGGGTCAAATTTGAATGATTTTTAACTCCAAAAAATAAAAACTTTTTCATATGTTGCAAATTTGAACAAAGATTTATAATTTGTACCGATTATTTATGTTTATTGTCTTATTTTTAGTGTTTTATCTTGTCTCTCTCTTTTCAGTTCTTAACTCTTTTTATCTTGTGTATTTTTAATCAAGTACCTAACAAAAAAAAAAACGTATTAAATGTTAAGAGTAATTTATATGAGACTAAATAAAAAGAATAATAATCCACTTAGAATTCATCTTGTATAAGTATTTTCAAATATATTCCATATTTCGCATTCCTATTATTATTCCTTTAGAATTTCTGCATAGGGTTCATAGACCCCTGTTCTTTACAATTTCCGTGAGCTAAATTTCAAGTGTGCTTCGAATGGAGACGTGGAGACAGTGAAAAGCTTAGCAAAGCATTTTCTCGACAATGTACTCGTTACATCTCGATTCAATGCGACAGCCTACTCGACAGTACATTGTCGTTTGGTATTGTACGTGTTCATTATTTTAGAATTGCCTGAATAGTTATTTTTCTTACTCTAACCCAAATTATTATTGCAAAATAAATATATATTAAATTAGAATGCAATAGATTTTTATTAATAGGAGTATTTACTATCTACAAACTAAGTGAACCTATCGTCCTACCGATTATATCTGCTTGTTAAAAAGTCCGTAAAATTAGTTCTCAACTGCGCATATATAAATATAAACCTTTAAATTTCAATTAATTTGAATCTACCTATTAAAAAAAATCTGATGTGTCCAACACATGACTTTCCTATCTAGTTATTACAGGCTTTTTCCGGTTATTTTGTACAACCTATTGCAGCACCTCCATAAATGTTCAGAGGATAAAATAAATATATTAATTTTCCACATACATCTACCTCGAAACATTTTTCTATAGATATTCATTGAAAATAAAAATACTAAAAAATTTAAATTTAGCACTTTTCCTACAATTTTTCCATTACGGTCCATTTTAGAAAAATCATGTATAAACAAAAATTATAGAAATCGATATCGCAAACAACTTTTATTTCAACAATTTTCATAAAAATCAGAATTTTGCACATTTTGTCAAATTTCTCGAATACGGACCATTTCAGGAAATTTTGACATAAAGCAAAAATTATAGATAATAATATTAGAAATAACTTTTATTTGAACAATTTTTTTCTCCAAACATAAATAACAGATATATTCCATAAAATATAAAAACGGCCCCCCATAAAGTACCCCCCACATGTTCCGACTTTTTCCAAAATCTAATCATTTCACGTCAGGCCGAAATAAAACTTAAGTTTAAAATTTAATGTTTTTTTCTTTATCCGTTTTTGAGTTTTCTTCAAATTTCGAAATTTACACACTTTCTCAAATATCTCGAATACGGTCCATTTTAGAGAAATTATGTATAGAATAAAAATTATAGAGAATTATATTACAAACAACTTTTGTTTAAAAAATTTTTATAAAAAAGTATTTTTTTACATTTTGTAAAATTTCTCGAATACGGACCATTTTAGGAAAATTTTGTATAGGACAAAAATTATAGATAATAATATAAGAAGTAACTTTTATTTGAAGAATTTTCTTCCCCAAACGTAAATAACAGATATATTCCATAAAATATAAAAATGACTACCTATAAAGTAACCCCCAGATGTTCTGACACTGCCCAAAATCTAATCAGCACATTGGACGCTGGAAAAAAGCTTAAGTTTAAAATTTGGTGTTTTTCTGTGTATCGGTTCATGACACATACTTTGATTTTCTTTTACTATACGGAGAATGGTCGCACTGCGCAGCTTTCTGAGTGCATTTTAAAAGGAGATAGAAAACTCCGCCATTTTGAACCCTTATTACGTGTTGCCTACATCTTGGCGCAATATTTTTAATAGGTGCGTTTTAATCATCCGCTTCTGCTTCGGAATTGTCGGTTTTCTTGTTTTAATCAAACAGGTTAAACCGACTAAACCGACAATTCCGGAAGCAGAAGCGGATGATTAAAACGCACCTGATATTTTGCTTGCTGCTGTCAGTGTCAGTGAATATTATTTTTGAAGTCACAGTTTATTGCTAAAGAATCAGTTAGCTCACTCGGACCAGTTGAAAGTTCCAAAATAACATCCACTCCAGGGATACAAATTCAGGATACGCAGAAGACTGCTGTTTTATTATAGGCGGTTGTCATATATTGTATTATCCGAGTTGCACAGTGTATAAACTGAAACATTGAGATCCAAAGTGCCGACGCAGAGTGAGCGATCTGATTCTTTAGCTGTAAACTGTGTCACAGGGTTCAAAATGGCCGCGCCCTATGTTGGGCGTGTCGGACTTCTCTCTTGCCTCGTATAGTAATCAAAGTATGTGGTTCATGAGTTATGCGAAACACAGACACACAGACATCATCGCGAAAATAGTCAAAACGGATTCAGAGGACCTCAAAACGTAAAAATCCGTCGAGAACTCGAGGTCGAAAAAAATTATGATTCCTATACTTTCCTTATATCTGTATACAGATAAGAAAGTAAAAATCAATAAAAAATAATGTTAATCATTATTTCATTTATACGAATTCACTTTCCCCTACAAGAATCTTTATTATTTAACCAAAGATTAGACAGATGTTTTTCGTAGTATGTTTGACATAAATATTTCTATAATTTTTATACACATTTTACAACCTTTGTTGCATGTTATTGAACTTATTAATGAATTAATTTTGAAAATATAAAAATCTCCTAAATCTAAAAAAATATATCTATAAGGTGATGTTTTAAAAATTTTAATATAATGAACATAAATTCAAATTTCAAAAATAAAACATGAAATTGTGCACTTTTATTTATACTTTTAACAGGTTTTTTAATTTTTAAAATCGAAAAGATTTGGTGTTTCCGAGCACCCCCTTAAATCTGTAACTATTATGGAACGCACAGCTACTAAAGATCCCGTGATTGTTGCTAGTTTAAGTAAAACATTTTGTGTTTCCTGATGATAAAGTTTTTCGATTTGCAGGTTCAATGCCTGGTGGTCCAGGCGTCCCAGAAAATATAACGGTGACATTTCTCAACCCGACATCGGTTCGCGTCTCTTGGGCCACATCCGCTGAAAACGCTGACAAATATGATGTCACATACAAACCCACAGGTGCCAGGTATGTGTCTAATAATATATATCCTTTATAGAACAAACACCAGTCACTAGTTATTTAAATTAGATAGACAGTACAGAAAACACCAACAACTAGTTATTAAAATCATATAGACCGTAAAAAACTGTTTTATTATTAAAAGGAATCAAAAAAACCTACTTTTTCGTACAAGAACTATAATTTTTAAATTTTTGTATTAGTCCATTTTAAACTTTAACACTTATAAAGTACTTTAGAAAACATTTACCATTCAGATATTATTGGAGGCCGAAGAAATAATAATTAAAGTTGAAAATTTTATTAGCCTTCGTAACATAAAATTTGGCACCATCGTAACGATGCGTATAAGGTGATTTGACGCTGGAATTTTCATCAATAACGGTTTTTTAATCACAATTTTCTTCTAAATGCTTAATTTAACAAATGAATCAATGTTTTCTTGTAAAAATAAACACAAATATTTATTGTTTCTATGTAAATATGATTGAAAATGCAGATGCGTTATTATAGTTCATTATCAAAGCGTTTTCATCATTAAGTCAGCTTCATTAATTGTATTTTGCAAAATTGAAAAAAAAAACGAATTATTTTAATACAATATCCTATAAATCTTCAAAGACCAAAGCAACGCACTACAAACCAATCAAACAAATGGTCAACAATAATTGTAGGGCTGTCACTGACGGGTGAAATCGTAGTTAATCACAAATTATTTACTGTCCTCCCCTTAGTTTCAGAAGTGGGATAAGTACAAATCAGAAGTGGGCGAAAGACATAATCTATTAATCGAAATACCCGGACTAAAACATGTAAACAACTAAAGAATTCAGGGATAAAGAAATGAATCTCACGAAGAATATTTTGTAAGAAATATGATTTTACAAATTTGTAAATCTTACATCTAAAAAGATTAAAAATTCGAATTGTTTTTAAAGTATTATGTATGCATGATTACATAATTTGTGTATAACGACTATACCAATTGGATTGTCACTGGCAATGATTTATGAGAGCCATCACAATTGAGATGAAAAAAGATAAAAATTTATTGAAGTGCAGTTGGTAATACGATTTTTACGATTATGAATCAAACTTCAACAACTATTTGGCTAGAAAGTAACTTTGAAAAATAATGTCATCAGGATATTCGCAAAACTTTTTCATGTCTTGAGAATTCCGATATTTTACGATTTCAGTGGTATATCAGATTTGATAACTCAAATTGACCAACAGGTGCTTCAAAATTTCATTGCTTTTGTTTATAAGATTGACGATACCGCCCGCAATTTCTTCTAATATTGTGAATTCTTTGATTGAACTGCTTTCAAATAAACATTTTTTTATAAAAGTATTTTATAAGGATCGAAATATATTGCGTTTTCGCAATCTATTAAATTGAATGGGCAATACTTTGTACTGGCATTTCGAATATGTTCCTTTTCACTCAGATGAAGTGTTATGGTGGGTTAATTAATCCCATAATACTATCACATTCTAAGTAACTATGGCCTCTAACTGTTAATGTCATTTTAATTGTCACGTATGTCTTGTACTAAACACATTATCGCCAGATATTGAGATATAATAAACAGGGATGTTATGACAGTACTAAAAATGTCCGCACCACTAATAGTCGAAGTTCGGAATTTTTTAAACTAAGACGGATCGGAATGCGGTTTTTTGCATTCGCTTCCATAAATATTTTGGACAAAATGCCCCTACTTTTTATCTTATACAAACCGGAAATTGCATTGCTGCAGCCAAAAATGCATTTAAAAAAATGTATTTTTTTAAGACGACTTTTGAAAGATTAAATAACTTTGTAAATAAGAGTTAGAACTGGCCCAAATCGAGTCCCCGAGGTTTTTGAGGTCGCTGATCACGATTATAATGTTCAAATTGACCCACAGTCGACCTGGAGCTCAGAAACGCCGATGAACATCATCTCCGTGGTAATCTCCCGAAATTCACGCGGGGAAGGAGAGAAACTCGGCGCCCGGGGTTTTTTTAGGTCGCTGAATTAAATATAGCAACGGCGAACACCCTCCGGACACTTGGTGTGCCGGAATTTTCCTAACAAGATCGCCAAAAACAACCCGAAAATCATTGTAGAGGCGTTTTTTGGGCGCTTAATCCGAACTTTACGTCGAAAACGACCCCCTGAACACCTAGTGCACCGAAATCTGGCCCTTAACGTCGTCTTCGAGGGTTTCCTCACACAATCGAAGAAGACGAACCCAAAATCGTTATGGGTGGTTTTTTGGAGCGCTTAATCCGAATTCCACGTCGAAAACGACCCTCCCAATACCTGGTGCACCGGACCCTCGGGCTGAACGTCGTCACCGAGGGTTTTCCAGACACGGTCGCAAAAGATTAAACGCAAGAAGCGGATGATTAAAACGCACCTGATATTTTGCTTGCTGCTGTCAGTGTCAGTGAATATTATTTTTGAAGTCACAGTTTATTGCTAAAGAATCAGTTAGCTCTCTCGGACCAGTTGAAAGTTCCAAAATAACATCCACTCCAGGGATACAAATTCAGGATACGCAGAAGACTGCTGTTTTATTATAGGCGGTTGTCATATATTGTATTATCCGAGTTGCACAGTGTATAAACTGAAACATTGAGATCCAAAGTGCCGACGTAGAGTGAGCGATCTGATTCTTTAGCTGTAAACTGTGTCACAGGGTTCAAAATGGCCGCGCCCTATGTTGGGCGTGTCGGACCTCTCTCTTGCCTCGTATAGTAATCAAAGTATGTGGTCATATCGCAAAATAGTGTTTATGTCGTCTTCACTTCATTCTATCTCGATGTCGCCACCTATCGCCGGTGTACATTTATCTTTTTTCACCGAAATAGTGGGACATTCATCTCTTAACTTATAATGCTTATTGGTTGTATTTAGTTCGAAGATTTAATTAGGACTGTGGTTCATGTGGCATCCTCCACCTCGCCCTTTTCAGATCTATTGTGGATAGTTCGAAAACTTTTCCAGATTCTAAATTATTTTATGTATGTAACTTTCATATATTTTTCAGTCTTTATAATCTTACACATTCTCATTATTTGACCATTACTTTTTTGTTGGGAATTAGGCATTCCAACGACCTGTCCAAATGGCTACCAGTGGGTACTGACAGTTTAGATATGGCAACCCTGTTTTCATGTTGTCATTAACAGGGTCAATGATACATATATGTTATATACATTGCTCAAAGCTGGTCGTTTGCGAGCAGCCATATTGCCTGGCAAATATTTATTAATTTGAATCAGTTTAGCAAAAATGTGTTTTAAAACCAATTTTTAGACTTTAGATATTTAAAAAATAATAATTGCTTATATTTTTACTTCAAGGCCTAAGCTTATGTTTATTTTAAAAAATAGGGATGATCAATCTATGTAACTATCTATTTCACTCACCTTGTCAAATCACCAGGCCTACAGAGTTGCCATAACTTTGCCACATCATAACCTGTCAAAACCCACTGGTAGTCATTCAGTTTGGAATGCCTAATTGGCGAGCTTTTCAAACAACAATTGATATTGACATTTACAATTTGATCTGTCATTGAATGGAAAAAAGTTCAGGATAAACCAGAGAAAACAGGAGATGTAACTACTGACAAATATCGTGCAGTCCTGAATAAGACATATTCTAAGGGATATAGGAGGGTATAATATTAGCTGTTGTCATATGCCTATTTCATTATTCTCGTTTTGTTTATAAAATTATTTACATATATTAAAAAAGCTAAAATAATTCGACCTATTTTATTGCAATTGAACCCAAAAAATTTTGAATCATTATGTTAAATTTAATTAAATTAGATGTAATTTCACTAAATTAGATGTAATAATTTTCAATAAATTCCAAACCCTAGTTATGTTAAGTTGAAAGTGGCAACACAGTTTACACCGGCATGGATATTTACGTTATTATAAACGCACAGCGGTTAAAACATGTATTTCATTGATAAAAATAAGTTGTATCTGCGTAAAATTCTTCTCTTTGCCCCCTCTCTTACTTCTCACCTTTCGTCTTCTCACCGCGGACATACAAATGGAGTGTTATGATTGTCGACTTAATCTTTACATCTGAATATTATATTTTATCAATGAATGGTTATATCTCTGTTATCTCTGGGATAAACACATATCTTGACATATAATGTGTGTTGCTTCTCTTATTGTAATAGAATTTACGTGTCTAATAAATTGAAGTGACATTTAGAATTTTTCATTTTAACAATTGGCTTTACGTTTTTTTGTTTGTTGGTGGTCAAAATCATCACTTCTAATACTCTATTTATAAAACATGTCTAAAAATAACACTCCCGAATATAATTATTTCCAATTTAGCCCAAAGTGCTCATCAGCATCCCCATTAGATCCATGCCTCTGGGCGCTTCCAAGAATTGCTTGATTTCGCAGCAATCTGAAACCGCTTCGACAAAGGAGCATCGGTTATCGTTTCCAATAACAATTGTGTCGGTTTGTTAATTGTTTCAATAGAGAATTTGATCGAGAGGGCCACGGTTCAGGGTCGACCACGATTATTATGCCAGTCGCGCTAATTACGAAATGATTAATAGGGATCGACGCCGTTGTGGTCGGCGTCGAATTAAGAGCTAGAAAGGATAATTGTGTAATCGAGAATGGGAATGAGGGGTTTATCGTTGGGGGCGAGATTGTTTCGTTGAAATGCGTAATTTATGCGAAAATTGGTTTCAGAATGAATAGGATACCAAACAAATTTATATTAGCTAAAATGAATTTAACTGTCCTAATACTAATAATAATAATAACGTTTATTCAGTAAGCCATTAGTATAATACACAACAATATATTGTAGAAAAAATCAAGAATATAATATAAAAAAAAATTAATAATAACAATAAAAACCTCCCAAAAATATGAGCTCACTCAAAAGGACATATTCATCGTCCATCATACAAGATGAAAGAAGATGATTTTCAATATATCTAGATATAAATAGTATAAAA